TCGTAGACGATATACTAGAGAGCGCACTAAGGGGACTCCAAAACGTAGGTATTAAATGGACATTTGGAGAAAAGCTGTGCGATTTGGAGTACATCGAGAACATCGTCTGTCTGTTCTAATGTATGGGGGATGCTCAAAGTGCACTTGATAGATTAACAAGTGCAGTGGCCACATTCGGTATGTGCTTTACACCTTCAAAGTGCCAAGTGCTGCTGCAGGACTGGGTTTCGTCTACTCCCATTCTGACACCAAATGGCCAGGATTTAGTTGTGGTGGATTACTTTTCCTACGGAGGCAGTTGCGTGACCAATGACGGTAGTGTAGCAAAGAAGATAACCGCCCGCATTTCGAAGGCTCGAGCAGCATACGCAGGACTGAAACACCTTTGGCGTAGATGCGACGTTTCCCTGAAGTTGAAAGGTCGTGTATATTATGCCACCGTTCGTTCAGTTCTGCTTTATGGTTGTGAGACCTTGAATTTGCGAGAAGATATCCGCCGAATAGAAGTTTTCGATAAACAGGTGTTTACGCAGTTTAGCCCATGTTGGATGAAGCGAACGGGTTAGCAAGCTGAAGGTAAGCCGTCGTGTGTTTGGGAGTCTGTCAGGTATAAACCTGCTAGCATACCGAATTCAGATTACTAGGCTTCGCTGGCTAGGGCACGTATTGCGTATGCCCAGCCATCGTCTGCCGCACCGCGCTTTATTCGCTGTGGTTAATCCGGGCTGGAGGAAACCACGTGGAGGTCAACAAATGACGTGGAGACGAGGCATGAAGAAATACACAGATCCATTAGGTAGAGTAGGTGTCTCTCACCTTCCAGGTTGGTGTCCGAAAGACTCCATAACCGGTTGGTTGGAGACATTGAAGGATATGGCAGCAAACCGACAGCGGTGGCGTTGTTGTTGTCGTTTCTTATCAGATCAGAAACAGTATGTATGCAGGGTTCGATTGCGTACCCCTTGTGTTGACCATAGTGGCTCACTTTCTTTTCCCTCCTTAAAAGTAGATCCTATCCCTATCCACCTTAAAGTTTACCACTAACCTTGTAGACATTGCTAGTTTGGCAGCGGTCATTGAAGTTCGCCCCACTGTATTTGTTGTACGTTTATGATGACGGCTTAATAGCAAGCAATGTGAGAACTGTCAAAGCTCCCATCTGTAACGTTGATATCTTCCTAGGTGACACATTTCATGATCTGGAGTATGCAGATACCACTGCATTGTTAATTTGAGATCCAGCTAAGTTTTAGGCGTTTCTAAATGGCCTACTTTACCCATGTTCGGCATGAATTGTGCGCCTCTGAAGGGTCAAATGTTGTTACGGAATTTAGTTTTTTGAGTTTCCAACCTCACTTTAATAGGTTTTACTGCGAAATTTTGTTTTCGGTTAAAGATGTATGGCAGTCCTTCGATTGGCCGCTTCACCATTCAGACTGTCAAACAAATCAAAATACAACAACCTTTATGACAGGAATTAATCTATGGTTTTTTCGCCGGTGAAATACTGTTCGGTTGCTCAGGCTCAAGCCGATAAACTTTCAAGCGGGTATCTCTCTCTATATATATAGTGTTAATATCAAGATGTGAAACAAAACCCTTTCAACCTATGACTAAATTGTATTTTTGGCAGCGATCAGCGAAGTTCGCTTCACTGTATTAGGCTGTACAATGATGATGATTTTTTGCCGCGATACACATTTTTTGTTTTGATGTTGTCGCTTTATGGAGGACATTCGCGATAATCGTGTGTAACATTGGTTTTGATTCTGTGCCATTTGAATCTGAAATGATTTCTTAGGAGAACATCAGTGCGAACGTTTTTTGTCAATCTCATTCCAGCGAAGATGCATCAATCGATTGTGAAAATCTTCCACCGCCCAAAGTAACATTTGACCCAGAACGAGGGATAAAAATTGTGGTGCAGTACTATGGTGATGAAAATGGAGACCTGATCAAGGAAATAAAGGAGAGTCGAATAGAAAAGCGGCTGGTAGCTTCACAAATTGCAGAACGAAAAAAATGGCAAAAATACGGTCAGGCTAAAGATGATCCTCCGGGAGGCAACTCGGCCAATACTTATCCCGGTGAGGTGGTCACCATGCAACTCGTACAAGCCAGACAAGTGAGTTGTTTTTTAGATATCAGTTTACTTTTTTGATGAATCTCAATAAAGCGGGGAGGTGACGTAGATTGATGAGAATCTTAACGATCGGTGCGCTAATCTAGAGAGATTGGAAATACAAATCTGGCATTTTATTCGACACTAATGGTATCATTTTCAACCCTATAAAGTTCAATAGCCTCGGTGCAGTTCGAACTCACAAATTTTGGTTATCCAAACTGGTACTTGTTCGCAAGTGACTGACTGTTGATCACGGCAGTTCAAGGGCGTGAATGAAGTTCTTTCGTGAACAAAGTTCCTACCTTGAAAGCCGTTTGCTAATCGCTTCTAGCACCACTAGCTTTCGGAATTTGATCACTTCAGTGGGTTTCTGTTTACTTCGGTTTCCCGATTCCAGGAGGCGGGAGATGATCAGTCTGACACCCTATTCCGTCTTACAGTTATAGGCCACCGCCTTGATCGTCGTATCTTGATACGTTTCGACATCGTTTGACTGTTTCCTTCGCATATGGTTCGCTGATCAAATGTGATTAAAGCAAATCATCGAAAGCATATGTTCGCCTATGTTGCGCGCTAATTAGTCCGTTTCATACTCAAATGAACCGTTGTCTTCTTGGAAGTTTCGACAATCGACCGTTTAAGGGTTGGTGTTGACAGATCCCCGTGGTCCATTAAGTCAAAAGTTGCATTCAAATACAAGAACGCATATGGATTCTTGTTTTCTATTACATGAAAGTAAAAGGGATAAACCCTATGATCCAAAGATATACTGTAAGTATGAAGGTAAGGGGAACATTCAAGCTAGAACCAGCTTCTTGATGCTGCCTTTAAGGTCATGGATGTTGTACTTTGAATGGAAGGCCGAAAGGGGAAGAATGTTCCACAGTTGTGTTGTTTTCGGGAAAAAAAATGATTAAAAGTTATAAATGCGACACCCGGGCATAGTCATTTGAAATGGGTGGCTAGCAGCTCGTGCGCGGGATCTACCGGGAAGAACAAGCGGGAGAAGTACAGACGCGGAAAGTTCATTAGAGCCAATGCCAAAGTAGTATCGACAGAATAAGGATAAAAAGGGGCTGTCCGACGGTGAGCTAGTGACTGCAAGTTGCATGTTAGTGACAGGTCGTTGACGAGACGGATGACATTAAGTTAAATCTGATCAAGAAGAGAAGCTCCACCCCACATATGACCGCAGTATTCAAGTGTAGGATCAACCTGAGCGAGAGGTAAGTTGAGGTGAAGAAACGTCTGACGCGGAATATTTGTCGAAGGATAAAACGGCTTACCCAGATCCCATGATAAATTTTTCCCCTGTGGTAGATAGTTGATTGCCAACTCTGACCATCCCGGTTTGTGATCTGCCGCTTTAAGGTCGTCTGTCACAACACCACGCCTGTCCCATTGAGACCTTATGTCTTCTAACTCTATCTGCTTCGAGTCGAGGATTATTCGTTTTCTGACCGATCAATAGATCCTTGTGGCACCTCTGTTTTCCTTTATCATGTGTTATGTCCTTCGTGGAGTACTTCATTTTTATATGACACACCGTCGTCATCATATAGAGAGATACAGTGAAGTGAAGTTCACTGATCGCTGCCTAGCTCACAATGTACATAAATTAAGTGGTAAAGTACAAAATGTAGAGGAATTGGGCCTAATTCGAGGGCGGCAAAGAAAGTGAACCCCTATGGTCAACACAGTACACAATCCAAGTGTGCATAAATACCGTTTCAAGCATTCTGACCTGATAAGAAATGATAACAAGATTGTCACTGCTGTCGGTTAGTTGCCATATCCTTCCGTGTGTCTCCAACCAGCCAGTTGCAGAGTCTTCCGGACCCCAACCTGGAAGACGGGAGACACCGATTCCATCTTATCGCTCTATATATTTCTTAATGCCTCGTTTACACGTCATCTGCTGACCCACATGAAACAAGTGTTCGATTACCGAATCTAAACCAAGATTCCATCGAAATGGTAAGTAAGCAGGGTTGACCAATACTTGTGAGCCTAATGTTTTTAATTACACAAATAAAGTAGTTTACTGTTAAAAGAGTAAACCTCATAACACGAAGATACACTGCATAGAGCAGGATGTAAAAAGGCTAGATCCACAATAGACCCAGTTTGATAATCCGTGTTCAGAAGTTGGTAGGCGAGCGGACAAGAGAAACGTGTTCCACAGTTTAACAATTCTGGAGAATAAGAGGACTGAAAGCTCATCGTGCGGGACCAAGGAACAAACACACTGTTTCTTTGGATGCTTCAGCTCCTCCCCCCATTGTGTGAGCTAGTGGTAGTGAAGTGCAGAGCGGGGGGGGGGGCNGATTATTCTTTCTGCTGTTTACCATGCCGTAATGTTTAGTAAGATGATCCCTCACTAGTGAGTTACATTCACTCTCAGACGAATGGGCACGTTTTCCGTCCTGGTATCCTGGGTCATTTGCCTTACCCTGCTATGCTACGTTCCTAGGTTAGTTTTTCGTTTAACGGCGCTGCGGATGTTGCGTATACTAAGTATCATGATATTGGTTGACAGTTGTCTCACCGTTTTTTTCACCCTCTCTGTATGAATTATCAGTGGTTCACCAGTCCGATATCAAATTGTCGCCAAAAACTGACGAGTACGATTTTCACAAGTGTTGCTCTCTTCTTATATTAGCGTACAATGAGTGATTGTTCATTCACGCTGTCATTTTTGCGGGCTATCGTGCTTTGTCAATACCTTTTTCACTGTGCTACAAATCATCGAATTGCTCTGCTATCCCGTTCACTTTCAGCCCGAACAAGAACAAGAGCGTCAAGAGAATGAGGAGATTCGGACCAAAGTACGAGTGCAAGCCGCCAGATGTCGCTACTGTAAGGGTAGCCACTTTACACACAAGTGTCCGAACAAGAGCGATATGGAAGCTATGCAAGCGCTACGTGAGAAACTCAAGGGTCAGGCCGAGAATGCAGAGGATGGGACCGAAAAACCAGTAAGCTCATATTCCCGTTGTCTGCCCCTCGTGTTTGAGACTTACGACAGTTTACCGAAAATTCTTGTTTGATTGATTTGTTATGGTTTTTGCTTCTGTAAGTCTCATAGTTGCCTAGAATCCTGCTCATCTCGGTACGTGTGCCATGCAACACATATTGTTTCGTAATCCTATTATCCCATGCATTCTACGTGATGTCATGTTTTTGGTCAATGCATTGTAATACTTTTGACTCAATCACAAACACCAAAGCTGTCTGTTTATCGTGGTCCTTCTGTTCCAGTTAACATAAAGTATACAGACTTCACGAATTAGCACTGACTGGTATACGAGCCCATTCCAATTTCTGACAGTGACATCCCATGCGAATCAATCAGTAAATCGTAATATGTGGAGGCTCACAGTCTCGACTACTTAGTATTCGTAATATGGAATCTAGTTAGTATATGGACTCTTCAAAAGTCTGCTGAAACAGATGCGCCATTCCACACTGCTTCATCATGATGTGTAACCCTAATTCGAGAATACGTTTTGTTTATTTTTTTGTTGAAATTTACGCTTCTGTGTTGCTGCTTTTTGTTAAGAACTACTCACGTAATTCGTTGTGTTAATAAGATGTCATATCTTCGTAAGTAAGAATAGAGGATTTCAAATATTTCAAAATCCTAACCCATATTTGATATATTATTAAAAAATTATACGTTAAATTATTGGTTCCAATGATGAGTGCTCCTTAGTCACGAATTCTTGATGTCTGTTACTAGTTTTGTGCTCATGTCTAACTCGGTTTACATTGTAGCCCGAACCGGTGGTATCAACTGGTCGTTATCTGCCACCGCAACTCCGTGGTGCTGCGGGTGTCTCGTCAATCCTTGGAGGTTCAGGTAGTGGCACTGGAGAGAAGCGTCAACTCGAGGGCTACACAATCCGAGTAACCAATCTACCGAGTGAAACGACAGGAGACGATCTGAAACGCATCTTCAGTTCCTTCGGCCACGTGACTCGAATTTTCCCGGCCAAAGATAAACACACTCAACAGAATCGCGTAAGTGTCTCACACTTTCATTCCCACTGTTTGTTCTGCTCATTCCCGTCCGTGCATCCAGCTGCACATAAGGGTCTCCGTTTTAATCCAGCAGTTATTGGAGACAGGTACTAGTATTTGATCCCACTCAAAATCGATCAATTTTTGCTCTGTTATTTCAGCTTGCTTTGGTTGATTACATTGGGACCTTATCTATAAAGACTGGTATATATATATATATAACGCAATAAAAAAATAAGCAAAACTAGGGACTACATGAAGGTTTATGGTTGGTTTTTCGGTCAGTGTACACAGAGTTTGAATCAGTTATGCTGATAGCAGGATAAACTTGCTAGCACCTCAATCTCAGGTCAATAGGACACGCTTTGCGTATGTCCGACGCCTACCACAGCGCGCCTTATTTTCAGTGACTGTTGCAGACTGAAAAACCCACATGGAGGCGAGAAGATAAATTGAATGAAGTGAAGAAACGTACAGAACGCTAAGGTAGAAAAGGTGTCTCTCGTCTTCCAGGTTTACTTTACTTTACTACGGCTGGCTCCTTGGAAAACATAAGCGGGCTCCAGACATGATCATGAAGTTCCTTAGGAGTTTGGTACGAGAGACGTCCGGAGGATCACTCAGCGTTTTTCATTTTGAGGGCGCACCTCTAGCCTGTGCACAATCAAGTGCGAACTGCGAGGCAGAACAGAAAGTGAGGGGGTCGATGACTTTAGTTTTAAAAGGCCAGTCCTATCGACCTTTGTCACAACACCGTCATTGGGCCTATGAGGCGTTTAAATGGGAGCTAGGTGATCAGCCTGAAACCCACCACACCCTGGTTTGGGTTCAAAAGATCCCATAACCGTATAATTGACACTGAAAATTATGGCAGTAAACCGACTGCAGTGGCGATCTTGCTGTCGTATCCCTTCATACCAGAATTCTTGAAATAGTATGTATGCACAACTGGACTGTGTATTGACCACAGGTTCGTTTTCGTTTCCCGTCCCCCAAAATAGGCCCAATCCCTGTCCTTACACATTCTCACTTACCGTGTGTGCATTATAACATTATGACAGCGATAAGTGAAGACCGTTTCACTGTATTGCGTTGTACAATTATGATGATGATGAGAAAATCTGATTTTACGTGCGAGCACGGGTAGATACCATCTATAACATTCATACAGCCGATTCATCTTGTAGGAAATAGCCGCATCAACATAAATATTGGTATTGTAATGACAACGAAAACTGGACGTGGCATCGGCACGGACTCGTCGGCGCTTAGCTGCCAACATGAAGACGGTGTTTGGTTGAATGGCTTTGTTCCGTCACCAGGATCAAAGAGGCACTCCACGATGCTTGCCTGTCCCCAGCTGCAATGAGTGGTGCATAGGTTCTGTCCCCCGGGGTAACAGAATAAACCACCAGATTGTTTATATATTTCGGAAGGCTGTAACTACTAATTTTAGCATACTCTCAATAAACAATATGTTAACTTCATTCTCATTGAACATTTTTGCCGGTCATATTTGCAGAAGAACACCACTTCTATTCAGGTCATATTTTTCACGGAAAAAGTTGACGCTTCAATTCTTCGATCCGATGAAAAAATTCACCCTGTCCATCTTTTGATATTTCAGTAAATCAACCATGTGGACTTACTTCGACACTCCTCTTCCCCGCAACTTCAGTTTTTGCATTTCATTTCTATTGCTTATTGAATCGCATTTACCCTCAGATCTGTCTTGAGTCGATCGCCAAAATTTGACGCTTTCGACTAGCTTAATCGACACGAATTAATCTGACCACTGCTTGTTTATGGTTCGCTGAATTTCAGGGCTTTGCGTTCATCTCATATTCGAAATACGAGGAAGCCACAGCTGCAATTTACGGAGTCAATGGATTACGCCACAATCACGTGGTTCTCAAGGTGGATTGGGCTAAGTGAGTGCAATGTCCACAATGCTTGAATTACAATTGAGGAAAAGACATTGTATGCATGACTGGTGGTAATTTATTTTTTTGATGTTTTGTTCTTGGTGCTGGTTACTTCCTGTTGCTGTTTCTCACAAGCATTAACAATATTTCCTCGCTGACTATGCATAAAACACTTGATCCAGGTTCGACCAAACAGGCTGAAATTCACGTTGTTGGCTAGCATCATCGATGAGCATTCGTTAATCCCACATTGAATCCGACCCATTATAGCACAGAATAAACCCAAATCATGGTCTCACAGGAGCACCCTGTGGTTGACCGGTACACCACTGCACCACAAAGATCGCCTCTTCCTTAGTTGTATTCTGCGAAATAACGATCTGTGAAGGTTATTGGTGCACCGATGTGATCTCCGACGTGCTCGCATCGACACAAGCACGTATCGGTATTCTTGCATCTCCCAATGTTTCTATTCATATCACCCTTTTTAGATCAGTTTTTTATCCAAATGTTTCAACGAAAGAATGAATGTATCTAACATTCTGAGGAATCTATTGCGTAGTATGTACTAATAAAAAACGACCTCAACATTTGCACACACAAACCCCTTCACGCTTCATTATTAAAAAAAGTACTAAGCCTGGCGAAAATAGGGCTGCATCGCTGGTTTACCCGTGGGTTCATTAAGTGACTGTAAAATAGGCTGTCGTTTGTTATTAGACCAGAGTGATCCGTTGGGTTGAACTAGCCCCAACTTCGCCCTGACTGGGGACATAGTAGAGGAACTAGACCAATTTTGCTATCTGGGCAGCTATATCTCACCTGGCGGACGCATCACAGATGAAGTGTCGGCGTGCATACAGAAAGCTCGGTTGGCACTTGCCAACTTGAGACATCTGTGGCGCCGTCGCGACATCCGGTTGTCTGTGAAGGGTCGAGTGTATGCTGCAGCAGTTCTCCCAGTGTTGCTCTATGATGAAGATTGTCAGTGTTCAAACACCGCTGTCTACGTAGCATTTCACGAGTTTGGTGTGGTAACCGGACGGACAGTGCTGAGATTAGGCGTAGAGTTTTAGGCACCGAGCGATATGGCTTGGGGTCGTAAACAGTGGCGCTCATGCATCTACTCATCACTCTTGCAACCCGTCTAAGAATGCTCTATCTTCCTCCTGAATTCACTCTCAACATTCCAATCTTCATTATGCTTTTTTATCCAAATGAGCGACCAAAAGACAGCAACCAAAACCGGCTCACGGAGGTGCATGGTTAATGGTTGTAGAAAACTGAAGGAATGCTTGGTAAATCCCTGTCAAACCTGCAATTTCTCGGATACGCCAGGTGAACCGATTACCCACATTGCTTGTGGTCGGTCGGAGAATGAATTGAACTGATCCGGCCGACCTACAGAATGCTTAGCTTGACTGCACTTGCACACACACACGCTTTCAATTGCCAGATTAGTTTTAGTGACTTCAAGCACTGAAAAAAGAGCACGCACTCCGGTGTTCAAAACCCGAATAGGACGGTGGGTATGCACTACTACCGATAAGTCCTAATGCTCGCCAGACTTGAGGCTAATGTTTTCCGAGTGCACAGTTGATTAGATGGTCAGTCAAAACAAAGAACTGATTATATCGTATCTGCTCCGTCTGTTGTTTTTCCATTACCGTGCAATGAATGGCAGTTATTCCTCATGGTTCGGCATCTACCCTGTTTTTACCTTTTCCTTTACATAATTGTCACTTGTTCACAAACCGTATTCTAAAACAACCTCTTCTCCATTACAGGCCATCGGCGAACTGAATTCCATGTGACGAAAATTGGACAAATAAATCTTAACTGACAAAATGATTGTTCTTTTATCTCCTTGACTGTTCTGACTAAAATATTAGGATAAGTAGTGTACCGTCTCGTCCGCTTGTATGCAACTATTTCCTAAGATGTCCCGGGTGGGTTTTACTTTTCTGAAATCTCCTGTCCGCAATATCGGAAAACGTGTAAATATGATATGCCTGAAGTTGAAAGATCATGTACATATATTGTGCTTTATGGTAGTGAGTCGAGTAAAATATATTCTACTCGACTAGCAGTTTTCGATTGTCGGTGTTTACGCAGTTTAGCCTACGTCGGATAGGGCGAACGGGTCAGTAGTCTGAAAGTAAGCTGTCCTGTGCTTGAGAGTTCGATGCTTTCCGGGCTTCGCTGGCTAGGGCATGCATGCACCGTGTATGCTCAGCTGTTGTCTGTTGCGTCAGGTTAGAGGAAACTCTGTGGAGATCAACAGATGACGTAAAAAGGAGGTTTGAAGAAATACATAGAGGTATTAGGTAGAGTTGGTGTCTCATATTCTATGTTAGGGGCTGAAATACTCTGCAAAGCGGTTGGTTGGAGGATATGTAAGCGAAAAGACAGCACTGGCGTTCTTATTGTCATTCCCTATCAGAATGCTTGAAACGGTACATAATGCACAGTTAGATTAAGTGCTCTGTGTTGAATATAGGGGGGTTAATTTTTTTTCACCTTCCCTAAATATAGGTCTGGTTCCTGTCTATCTGACATATTACTACTTACTTTGTATGCATTGCGAGTTTGGAAGCGATTAACAGAGTTCACCATACGGTGATGATGATGATAAGCTATGGCGGGAAATAGGCAAAATCGGGTAAAAATGTCTTCTGGAGAGAAACGATTTTCCGACTCGGTTAGTGTCACAGACTGTGATTTCTGAGCGTCCAGTTTATGCATAAGTGAACTGATCTGCTCAAGTAATTGGTGTGCGGAGAAAAAGCGTAACTTTGCCATAGGTAGTTCCATGCTGTCAAACATCGCGAATATCTTGCTTTTCAGAAATCGAAATCAGTCACCTGTCCCACCATAAGTTTCTCGATAGTTTTAAGTCAAAGAAAAATTGTAAATCAGTGTGACTATTTGTGAGGAAACGCCGAAAACTGCGTTTATAGGTTCACGTACAGCCTTGATTATTTTCTCGAACGAAAAATATACACGCGCATCGATAGAGCGAATGGATCAAGCGGATTGTATTATTCTGTCGAATAACATTGAGAAAACACCAGTAATATTCCACTGTAACACATTTCCTCTGATTTTGCGGGACTCCGGATTTTCTTAAACAATCACCATTGATCCACGAACATAACTCGATGCACCGGCATTGCCAATATGTGAAATATCGAATACACTGGGGCGATAGTAGAAAGCTGTCCAATTTGTCTCCGGACTGCTACAGTTCTGAATCTCAGCAACGCGATTTCGCAATAAATGATCAACAGTGGATACCGAGAATTTTGTTCAGACACCGCTTCATGCCAAATTACCAGGTAGGAGGTTTATTTTTATCGCTGCTGAAGCAGGATGGTGTATTAATCCCTCATGAAATTCGCCAAAGTTCGTTGCCAATTAACACTGGAAGTAGCCTTCCGCAAAAAAGATTGCATTTGGTGAGTTCAGTTCAATTCTTACAATCATTAACCATGCACTTTCGTGCGCCGGTTTTGGTTACCCATTCAGATAAAATAGCAGAATAATGATTAGGATGTTGAGAGCAGATTTAAGCGGAAGATAGCACATTTTCATAGACTGAAGTTACAAGAATAA